TTTACTTTTACTCCACTACATTTCCTAATTTAAATGTATACTTTTACTCCGATACATTTCCCCGAAGCATATTCGTTGCTTACTACAAAATAGTCAGAAATCAGAAGAACACGGACTGCAGATAAGCAGGTTTGACGAATCAGTAGTCTGGCGCTTGCAAGTTAGACTCCTAAAAATACCTTTGCTCATGTGCGCGCACAACCGCGGATGATTAATTTTCCACTCAAGTTGAGTCTGCGCGTGCGATATACAGTAACTTCTGCGATAATATGATAAGTGTTGTTGTAATAATGTGCGATCTGACATTATTGAGTATATCACCAAATCACACAAGTAAAACAGAGTGCATGCACGTGATTTATTAATCTATTAAAACTCAAAAGCTGCAAACTTGACCTGTCCTTTAAAATTGTTCTAAAGTGGCTGCAGTTGCACTCTGAACATGTTTATCTGAAAGCTAATGGTTGGCCTCTAGCCATCAAACTCTATTTTGACTATTGGGTGATATATGATACAGTCATTATAAGTGGTGTAATGTAACAAAGTAATAATACTTCGTTACAGTACTTAAGTATTTTTTGGGAGTATCTGTACTTTACTTGAGTTTTTATATTTCAGCCAACTTTTACTTTTACTCCACTACATTTCCTAATTTAAATGTATACTTTTACTCCGATACATTTCCCCGAAGCATATTCGTTGCTTACTACAAAATAGTCAGAAATCAGAAGAACACGGACTGCAGATAAGCAGGTTTGACGAATCAGTGGTCTGGCGCTTGCAAGTTAGACTCCTAAAAATACCTTTGCTCATGTGCGCGCACAACCGCGGATGATTAATTTTCCACTCAAGTTGAGTCTGCGCGTGCGATATACAGTAACTTCTGCGATAATATGGTAAGTGTTGTTGTAATAATGTGCGATCTGACATTATCGAGTATATCACCAAATCACACAAGCTCTGATATCCCAGGACCAAAAGTGACAGATAGGAATAAAATTATTACACATCACAGTTCATTTGAGCACTTAAATTGTACACTGATTGAACACTTCCTCAAATCATTGTTTAATTAGGATTTAGTTTTATGTTGACTAATAACTCAATGTTTTCACTCAGCAACTCCACTGAGATTGCTGCTTAAAGGATTTTTGGGCATTTCTAATTATAATGTTATTGTTTAAATGTCGGTTTTGGGTCTGTAATGTGTGAATACTAAACTACAGGCCTTATCTCTGAATCAGTTGATCACATAACCTGTTGATTTATCTAAAAAAAAAAAGATCATGTTAAATTTTTAGAGCATAACCTAATTAATATTCATAAGCTTTTTTCATTCTTTTTTTGACATCACAACCAGCACGTCTGCAATGCACATGATTATGTTAATGTTTTTGATTGGTTGGCTTTCATGTTTCCTGTTTGAACACACTTTATCAAAGGCCAGATTAATGGCAAGGGTGACATCAAACATATATTTATTTGAAACTTAACTAAAGTATGAAACTGTAATGTATATTTGTCATATTATTGTTCCACAAAACAAATGATTTGCATTGCCTGCACGACCCGTCTGCCAATGAAACATTTATTAATGTAAATACCAATTGGCAATCAATAAACATAACTAGAGTGCCTCCCCATATGCAAACACTGTCCTCATTGAACATATTGACAGCGCAGTGCCGTGTCCAACCTGAACAATTACAGAGCTGTTTCCTGCTGCCTTGCTCTCAAATTGATTCTCTTTGAAGTTCTCAATTTGTGCTTTAGTACTGTTGATTTAATGTTTTCAACCAAACAACTTTTTTATCAAAGGCATTTTACTTTTTAGGGTCAAATTGTCTAGTAATGTACTTGAAGTTAACTGAATAATGCTTATAGTGGCAAAATGAATGCCTGGTGTCAGCACACATTTTGATATTTATATGTTTACACTACCGTTTAAAAGTTTGGGGTAAATTATTTTTGTTTTAAAGAAATTCATATTTCAGATTTATGTTTACATTAAATTGATTAAAATTGACAGTAAATACATTTATATTGTTATAATGTAGCAGTTCCCATATGAAATAAATACTTTTGAAGTTTCTATTCATCAAAGAATCCTGAAAAATGTTTTATAGCTCCCACAAAAAAATATTACTATGAACATTAATAATAAGAAGAAATATTTCCTGAGCACCAAATCAGCATATTAGAATGATTTCTGAAGGATCATGTGACTGGCTGCCGAAAATGTAGCTTTTCCATCACAGGGATAAATGACATTATAAATATAATCAAATACAAAATAGCTATTTTAAATATTACAAATATTTCGAGTTTTTGCTGTAATTTGAATCAAATAAATCAGCCTCGATGTCAGAAGACAAAGCCAGAACCCTCGCCGAATGTGTTTCTGGTCGGAAGAAGATAGACTTTCATTTTGAGGAGCAGATTTAAATTAGATCTAACAATGCTTCACCAGCTTTACCAGCACATATTTCCTTATTCTGGTGGTTATATTTGTCAAAAATGAGTTCACCTCTTCATTTACATACTCAGGATGTAATTGATTCAAACTCTAGTAGATCTCTACCAACTGCCACTTTAACTATTGTAAGCGAAACCATTTACAGTAAGTGGATGGGATAGCGTAGGACGGTACTTTATTAATCTCCTGGGTGAAATTGACGGTAAAAATTATCTCTGGGCTTACCATTTATAGATTGAGGTGAAAATATTGGCCTTGGCTGTGTAGTTTTTGCAGGAGAGTAAGATGTCCTAAAAGACCTGACAGTAATTTACAGAGGTGTATTATCTCTTTCATTGCCCCTGTTTCCCCATATGTAACATTTAGAGTGCTATTTTTCATGACTAAATGATGTAAAAGTCCTAAACAACAGGCTTTCTGCCAAAGATTCAGTGTTTTGATTGGATCCTCCAGTGGCTTCCATGCCTGGCTAACTCAGCACAGTGACACAGATGTAGAGTGGGAGGGTGTGATAGAGACTCTGTGTCTCTACCTGATAATAAGACATCATGAGGATACGTCTGTCTCAAGCTGGAGATAGCACATTCTGTTTGGGAGGCTTGATACATTGTTGTGATGTTTAGGGTATGTATTTCTCCTGCAATATGACATCCATCGTTGATCTGCTTACAGAGTTTTTCGCGGGTGGTTATCGGCTTGATCTACAGCTGATAGGGAGCAATTCGGTAGAATGCGGCTTTGGGAATTTGCTAATAGAGAAGCAACTGTTGGTTTTAACAGGTACAAATAGACATGTTTTTCTGTTTATCAAGTTGACATTTATTAATCGCCCCGTGGAAGCTTTTACAAAATAGAAAATCATTGTGACAACCGTTTTAACAGAAAAATGCACTTAGAATGTGTGAGTTAAAGAACTATTATCTTTAAATAGAAAATTGCTCTCAAAATGCTTTAAATTCAGAGGACACATATAGTATACTCATATTAAGCAATATATACTATATAGCAAATCTCGGCAGCTGTATACTGTATATTGTCACAAAAACTAAACTGTATTATTGCTCAGTATAGAATAACTTCATTCAAGTTAATTTACATACAATATACTCAAGTGGCGTGATTTATACTGTATCGCTTATCTCAACGATTGCTTGTATCTTTGCAAAATGTTTGTACATATGTTATCATCCAGCTCTGATAAATGCAACTATAAGACATAAAGATATTAAGAAATTATAAGCACTTGACTTTTTTTGTATTGTTATTTTGCATTCTAACCAGTTAACCGAGTGGCTTTTAATGCATATACAGTATGCAGTATTACATGCAACTCTTGAGTTCTGCTTTCTAAACTGCTGTTTTGTTACAAACTTTATGAAATATGATCATCATAATTATAATAGGAATAGAAACACACCTTACAGATTGGATGTGATATATATCATTGGTAAGGTTTCAACTTGTTGAAATTATAGTGACTACACTCTAAAAAATGCTGGGTTAAAAACAACCCAACTTGGGTTATTTGGCAACCCAGTGCTGGGTAAATATTGGACAGAACACATGCTGGGTTATTTTGACCCAGCTGGTTGGGTTAAACGTTTTTTACCCACCATGCTGGGTTGTTTAATATATTGTTTAAAAATGATTATCGCTGGCTTAAAATGGGCTGGAAATTAAAAATACCACACAGAATTACCATAGGCAACAGCAATAATCAAAAGATGAACATTTATTATTAAGCAAGAACACCCATGGACAAAATACAAGACAAATTGAATTTATTTGGGTGAATACAGCATAGTTTACCACATTACATCCATTTAAACTCGTTTAACAAGCATTTTAGAAATAAAAAAGGCATATAGAAGTAGCATTTTAATTTAAGTGTATTCAACTGTTCTCTGTAATCGCTTTTTACCGAAATAGTGCTAATTCTCGTGACGGTGTGTCGCCGAAATCTGAGCCGGTGAAGGGCTGCTGTTCGCTGGGGGAACTGCGAACTTTAGACCGCGGCCTAGCGTTTCACTCGTAGCTGAGAGATGGCTCCAAGACCTGCCCAAAAACAAACAGTACTGAAATTAGAGAACATATTTTAACATCAAATTAAATTACACTCAGTATTATAACAAATAAAATCCATTTATGTTATGCAAGCCAAAGGTGTTTCCAGCGCGAAACGACTGCTGCTGACACAGCTGACTGACATCTCGTCTTTATGTTGCGTTGCATAAAATAATATAATTTACACCACATTAAAGACTTTATAAATGAAATAAAATGTATACTAAAATTTATTCCCCGAAAGAGTGCACCAAATCGCAGCATTTTTTAGAGTGCATTTGTATTTAAACAACGACAAAAAAAACCCCTCAGACACACATGTAAGGGGGCATTCACACAGAACAACTGAAGTGAATAAAAAACAAAAGTTGAACTGTTTTTAAACTGGGCACATTATCTTTAAAAACATGGTACATTGCAAATTGCAAAGCCCTAATGTCTTCCATGTCTCCCTCTGCAGGTAATTGACATAATTGTCCGTTAGCTGCTGCAGTCATGGATCTGAAAGACAGACGGCAGCGCTCTCTGACACAGGGTCAGCGCGGAAAGGATCTGCACTACGCCACATCCTCTCTGGACAGTGAGAACTGCCATATAGTGTCACAGAAATCATACAGTTCCAGCAAAACGCTGAAGGCCTATCAGCAGGATGGACACCTGCGTTATGGAGGATGTGTTGCGGAGCTGGTGCACCAGGAGAAAGAAGAGTATGTCAGACAAGGTGAGATTGTTGCCTTAATTAATATATGAATGGAAGAAATCATAATGATAAATATGGTATCTGTTCTATTTGCTATGGTCACATTACTGAAATACCAGCAAAATTTAGCAGACAAGAAAGGTCCATTTTCATTTTCAAACCAAGCAGCTTTCTGTTGGCCAACATGGCAAAGTGTACATCTATCTATGCTCCCATATAATGTAACATCATATATTGAGGTTTAAAGCAAACAGAAGAATTTAACAAATGTATGTGCAATTCATAAATGCATGTTGGAAACAGCAGTCTTTAGGTCAGAGTTTTCTCATTAGTTTGGGCTTTAATACAAATGCCATCATGGATGAGTATTATCCATTTTAACCCACATAATCCCCTTGTAATAAAAACAGAGAAGATGATTTTCTGTGGTAAGTTTTAATTTGCAGCTATTGAAACTTTTGATCTGTGTGCATATACTGTGCCGGCATTTCATGACAAATATTTGTTCAAAGTTATTGTTCCTGTCATGCAAGTGACACTGACCTGGTAAATCGATTAGAGCAGTGATTCTGTAAAAAAAAATCATGTGGTACCTAAATCTAAATCAAATGACAAATTGAAGATAAATGAAAGAACCTGAATATATTATACCATGGTTCTCAACTCTTTTTTTGGTCTTTAAATTTCACAGAAGCATTAAGTATAAAATGTCATTGCCATTTAAAAAAATCTAATTATATGCCATTTAATTTTTACAGTGAGGATGGTCATATCAGGGTGTGATTTCAGTGATTGCAATATGAATATCATTGAGCACTTTCAACTGATGTGTGTATTAATTTTTACAGATTTTTCTTTTTGACAAAAGCTGTGTTCTGTCTGGTATTTAGCCATGAGCTTATTTGTCGATTAAGGTCAGATCACAGAGGAAATATTATTTTGGTAAATTAAAAAAAAAAAGTTTTCTTATCCTGAGATTCCTTTTTACCAAGAAAACCCAACCCAATTGTTTTGCTCAAATTGATCTTGCTATGAAGTGTTAACTGGTTATAATTACTTTTCGACCAACTGACCTTATTCAGTTGTTGCACAGAAAATAGATGGTGAAAATGAAAGGCTTTGAAAACTTTGTGCCATGTTGAAAGCTGTCCTTACAAACACACCTTTAGCCAGGCTTGTCAATATCAGATAGCGAGATAATAGAGGTGAGATGCAGTATTGAAGTAGGAACCTTCATCCTTTCAATATTTGCTCAGGCTGTCCTTTTCCTCACATTTTAAATTTCATCTAGTAAAAAAACTGTGAGTTTTTAGATTTTAGAATGGCTGGCAGTTGCAACAGCTTACATGCATCATACAAACCGTTTTTATGCGCTTATATTAATTGAAAGACTACATCTTATATTTATACTTTTAAAGTAGGCCTAAGACTTCTCATTTTTGTATCATGAATGATATTTCCATATGAAAAGGATGAAGAGACTGGCAAATATTAGTTCAAATGGATTGAGTGTACCAAAGAGTAAATGGGATTTGTATATTTATTTAGTAAATTATTATTCTTTGACTTTGTGAAACAAATAATATATCATGTTTTTTTCTTTGTACTTATTCTCTTTTTTCCCCTAATATAAATATATATCCATCACAGAATCCTAAAAATATGCATCACGGTTTCTAAAAAAAAAAAAATCATCAAATCAGCATATTAGTATGATTTCTGATGGATCATGTGACACTGACGACTGGGTAATGATTTAATATATGAAAATAGAAAACAGAATTTTAAACTGTAATAATATTTCACAATATTACTGTTTTAATGTATTTTTTGCAGCCTTCATGAGCAAAACTGACTTTTTTAAAAAACAATAACAATTTATTTTTGACCCCAAGCTTCTCAACTGTAGTGTATACAGTATTTATATGAAGGTATATGAATTTTTATTTCTATCAATAAATGCATACATACGTACATACATACTTATGTATATTGGTTGTAATAAGTTGGTTACACTTGTGAGATTTAGGTGAACTGCAAAACAGCCAAAAGGGTTTGTATTTATTACTTACAAACTTATTATTAATCAACTACACTACTACATTATTATGATTATGTTTGGGGTTTTCCGCTCTCAGTTCTCAGTCCGGATTGCATCCAGGATCACCATACGGTTATTTTGTCTGAATTCCACCAGCACAGTATTTCTGTGGAGACTCAGCCAAACTCGCAATACAGCCTGAAGCGTTTTTTGTCAGGTTTTGATTCGGGAATGTCCAGGAGAGGGATGCTGCCTGTCATTCATTGTGTGTGTGTGTGTGTGTCTGTTTTCCATAGATGCTGGCTCAGGTGTAGATCAAAAACGGAACGAAACAGAAAATCTTTAATAGTCAGAGATGAGATGTGCTCCACTATCAGTGTCCACATCTCATTATAGCAAAGTTTCATCTACCTAAAGCAAGAGGTGACCTTGTCGTCACTTTTCTCCTTCACCGTGTGCTGTAAAAATAGCCCAAACCACTGAGACCGAGCTGCACACTGCTGTCTCATCTTCAGAGTGGATCAGACAGACTCAGACTTACAGAGAGAAAATGATAGACTAGCAGTCTCTAGCTTTCAGTAGCCTGAGGTTTCTGGTCCACACATTTTTTTTTTTTTTACCTGCCAGCTGTAGTCTGTTCCACATTACATCTGAACAAACTCACCATGGATATGCTCATATGGTCGAGGGAGGAGTTTTTGGTTGTAGGACGCTCCAAGCTGGTGGTCCATGGCCATAGTGAGTGAACAGGGCTCCGCAGGCAGCTTTGCCTCAGTAAAGGCCATATGGCGAGGGAGCTTCGGAAGTATGGGAGCACTCGTTATGGACATTTGTGGAAAGGAGTGCTCTGCCTCTTAGGCAGCCAGAACCCTCTTATGGTCCCTTTAGTGCACTTTTTTCCAGCACAACATCTGGTAGCATGTGCTTATCGTCCTCCATTCCAGCTCTTACTAAGCAGAGCTGCTCCAAACATAGCAGAACATTGAGATTACAGTATGGGTAATGTGGGTAAAAGGGATACGGGAGAAATGATGATAGAGGAGAGTGAATCAGGCAGAAAGCAGTAACTATATCCATCTCTATGACCCTGTTTACACCTGGGATTAACATCCAGCTCGGATGATCCGATCAGAAGTGATCAGACAAGAGGGATTACAGTTTATACTTGGTATTGACATGTTGCGTGTCAAATGCATGGCTGGTGACCACTTCTGATCAGATTTCGTCAAGTGCATCGTCTCTGGTTTCATGACCACACACATCAGATCAGCCTGTCGTGTACTGATATTGTCTTTTTTATGGCTGATACGATACAGGTTATGTTTATCTCTGATAACTGATATGTAGAATTTGAATTACAGTTTTATTTCTGCTTTTCAGCAAAAAAAGTAATAATTCCACTGGAAAAAAAACCCATAGCAAGCATGGATAGGTTATTCTCATTGTATATTATATTATATTATATTATCATTGTTGTATATATATAATTAATAATCCAGATTATTTTTTATTTTCATTTAAATTTTAGTTGATGTTTTAGTAATTTTGTTGTGCTTTTGTCATTTTTATTCGTTTTTTACTTATTTATTTTTAAGCATGTCCATAGAATCTTTATTATTATTATTATTATTATTATTATTATTGTTATTATTATCATCATCATCATCATCATTATTATTATTATTATTATTATTATTATTTAACTTTTAATTTGTTTTGATATACTGTTGTGAACTGAATGGTCATACATTTATTTTGATCTTTGTTTCAAACCCTTGTTTTCATGCAGTAATTTTGTTATATGAGTAGGTGGTCCATGTTGTCCTTGTTGCATCAAGAAGCAAATTCAATGAGGACTTATGCATCCCTAAAGTCATTTTTCACTGGTAATCTTCCACTGTAGCTCTCCAATGTATATGGTGTAAGTTGAATTGCAATAACATCAAACCTCTATGGTTTGTGAGTGTCTCGTAATCAAACACAATGACATCAAACCTGCACCATATTTGATTTGATAGTAGTGAAGGTAAAATGTTGAGTGAATAATGACATTATTTTTGGCCTGTTTCTTACACACTTTTTTCATATGGCTTCAGAAGACTTGGAATAGTAATACTTTTATGATACTTTTTTCTTGATTAGCTCCAAATGAGCTTGATTAGCTTCAAATTAGCTTGATTAGTTCCATGGATCTTCACAAGAAGCTGCTTCAACCCCCCTTTTTCTTTTTCATGGAAAAAAACTAACAGGGATGAAAAAACATTAGATGGAGTATATAATGACAATTTTCATTTTTAGTGAACAATTTCTTTAATACCAGGTGTAAACAGGACCTTAAGTGCACTAGCTGCAAAGCCTTAAGTTTGCTTTACTAAAAGGAATAAGTAGTCTGTACTTTTCCTTTTTGAATTTTGCTCTCCCACATGATGGCTAAAATCTGCATCATATGGACTTGTCGCTCAAGATCAATACCAATGTGACTGCATTGCTTTCAGGTTTCGATTTGTTTGGAGTAAGAGTAGGTAGTTTAACAAGCTCTTGATAGGATTTTCATCCACAATACAGCCGGTGGCCATCAAAGTCAACAGAGGGACGTGAGCAACGCTCACGGTCTTTAACTGACAATGAAAAGCAGATTATATTTTAATGCCGTTGTAACATTTTCCTACACCCACTGCCTGTTACAGGAGCTTTGAAGTATTGTGGGGGTCTAGGTGAGTCTCTATCACAATTAGAGATCTTTTCCATGTTGAAGAGGGACATTAGGCCTCTGCTACAGAGTGGTGTGTAATGAGCAGTGCTTGAGATGTAATATTGGGAGAGCTCTTACTGGAGACTGTAGTGGAATAAGAATGAGAATGCACTAGGAATGAGAAGCTAAAATGGTGAAGATGAGTTAGCTGGTGTATAAACACCTAAACAGACCTATCTTGATGGCTGCTGTTTTTTCTATTCATGGAGATGTCGACCTTGTGTAGCA